AGAAAACAAATTTAGTGAGTCTATGACTCTTACAGGGCAGCTGAATTTCTAGATTTGTCATCTTCAAGGACAGTAGATTTTGGAGATGTTTTGTGCAATCATACAAAGTTTTGCAAATCATGCAAAGTTAGAGAATATGTTGTTAAACTGACTTGTTTGTGTTAGGGTCGTTAGATAGCAGAACTCCTCACATTTGTGTCTGGGAAATGGGAACGAGCAGTAGATTATATGTCTAGCAAACTTCTCTAATACTTAGGCCTACCTTACTTACCAGAAAAAAAAAAAAAGAGCAATGCCACTTGTATTTTGTTGTATCACTGGAACCACGATAATGTTTTGGTGACTTGCCACTTAAAAAATAAATAGCCTAAATAGAGAACATATCTTCATGGCCCAGTTGGGATGAGGTTTTGCTCCATCTTTAGAAGAAAACACAAAGCAGTTTTAGTCCATCTTGGCAGTCTTGATTTCCATATTCTATTTCTGTCCTGTTACTAGTGAAAAATCAGCTTTTGACTTATGCCTGGACTGTTCCACAGCCCAGAATAAACAACACTGAATGCCCACTGGACACACACACACCTGTCAGAGGCACAAATGCTATTAAATGAGCCATACTTTAGAATACTCCTGTGCCGGGCAGTTCTTATGGTAGAGCCCTGTGTTTGAAAAATAGAATTTGAGGATGGCGTTTTGAGGATATAAAATGATCTATTTGACTGAAATGTGTTGGCTGGTTTGTCTCTATTGTACCTTCATGGCAGCTTTCAGACCACATCTCAGTTCAGCTGAGTTTCCCTAACTTTTTCTACATCCAGCTGTGCGTGTCACGTTTTGTCTCACTTCGCTATGTGCCACTTTCATTTGCCTCATCTTGCATTTTAATGGTTTCACAATTTTCAGCGAGCTAGATGGCATTGCAGCTTTGGTAATGGCAAGGGAAAATCTCTTTTATTTTGCTCAGTCAAATAAGGAAGAGACCGTTGCCTGTACTTGCTTCTTGAGCAACGTAACTTGTTTGTTGATTGTTTGCAGGTCTTCCCTAGTCTGCCTGCAAGCCCTCTCTCCAGCTCAGCTTCCTCTCCTTCTGCAGTTAATTAGCCTTCCTAGACTGTTCTCTCAACTCCTGTCCTCCTTAGGAAGTTATATTTATTAATATAAAACTCAAACCACATAAGTCATCCACCCAGATTGCCACCGCTGTGATGTACTTTTTTTCCTTGCTCCTCGGTAGGCCTCCTCTCAGCATCTTTTTCTTCCAGCCTTCATCACTGCGTCTTGCTCTCTTCAAGCTCCTCACCCTGTGTGATGGGTCGAAGAGCTCCTGAGAGCTGCTCAGGCTGAGTGCCTGCTCTCTCCCTTCTGGCTGCTGCTCCCTGTTTCTCGTGGGGGCCTGGTTGAGAGCCCCGTGTTCCCGTCACCACCTCCCAGCTCGATTGTCTTCTCCCCTGGAACATTGGCCGACATGCGTCAGAGGCGCAGCTGAAGCCCAGCCTTGCGAACCATCGGTGGCGCCTGGTGCTGTGTTCCTGAGAGCAGCAAAACAATTACTTAAATATTTTGAAATGTTGAGATGCGGCCTAATATTTAAAGCGAGGGTTCGCTCGTTAGCCTAGAGGAATGCTCTGGTGGGATAACCTCCCAAGAGGAAAAACACATACAGTATCAAACATACTAATTTAGCTGCCAGCACGTGTGAAAGGAATAAAGTAAAGACACTTCAGCGCTTCTGTTGACTGTGAAACAAAGATATCCTGAAGCTAGCGCTGACTCCAGCTGGTAAATCCGCCCACGTGACGCTGCAGGTAGATCTGAGCTGGCGTGCCAGGGACCAGCTGCAGTCCCTCTGCGCTTGCCACACAGTTAATCCACCGCTGGCTACTGAGCGGTTGCGTTAGAGTTGGTAACCCGCCTATCGGCGAGCAGATCTGGCAGTCTGTTTGGAAACTCCGCTAAAAAAACCCTTAGATATCTCCGAGTTTTCAGAGAATGTGGCCTAGCGCGATTGTGTAGTCGGTGCTTAAAAGAACGATGTAAGAACAAGCTGACTAAATTTTCGTTTCATTTAATCAGTTCCTACCCATCTTACAGAGCAAATATTTGCTAGAAATAAGCAGTAGTATTTGCATTTGCGCTGAACCTGTGAACTGGCGTGTACAACCTGCAGGTATTGAAAGAGAATGTTTTGCATAGTGGTGTTTCACAAAAATAATCAAAATTAACTTTTTTTTTAACCCCTCTAGAGTGATGTCAAGCGCTTAAGCACAATTCCGCCATTATTCGGATTTTGGCGGTGTGTCTGGAGTTGAACACTTTATCAGAGATTAAATAAAAAAAGCTTTGACTCAGGTGGTGAAAAAGAGCGTAACGTTATCGTATTGTTAACTTCACCTTTATCCAAAAAATTTGGAGCACTAGATCTGGAAAGAAAGCAGTATATTATTTCTGCTTTATCAGACAGAGAAGAATAAACTGTGTAATTCTACTGTGCACGTGCTAAAACCTTGCACATTGTGGATGAAGTACTCTTAGAAAAACTTTAGCAAATGGAAGCACAAATTTGGAAAAAACCCTCCAACTTACAGTTAGATTTTCAAGGAATTGTAATTTGGCTTTAATAAGTTGATAATTTGTAAATGAAATCTGAAATTCAACTAAATGTATTGATATAACAGCTTTTGTTGCCCTTTAATTGCTTCTATAAAACTCAGTTTTAAAGTCACTGAAATATTCAGTTTATGTTAGACGTCTTGAATTAAGGCATTTAAAAGGTAGTATTGCCTAAGGTCATTTCAGAGTTAGCTGAGAAGAATTAGATGGGGACTGGAACATTTGATGTTTTGGTGGAGAGATTCAGCAACAAGTGAAAAATGACTTTACAGTTGACGTGGGATGAACGTGGTAAGGAGCGCTCTGCGGTGTGGCCGGTGCAGCTCTGGGCTTACGGTAGCACCGAAACATAACTTTGCCATATAATGACAGCGCTATTTTCATCGTTTTCTCCCAGCTGGATGACTTCCATATATGTAGTTTAGATATCAAATGTATTTTAAGTAACGTACCTTAAATTTGGGTCAGTAGTTAATTAGTGTTTGTCGCTTCGATTAGTTTTAAAAAAAAAAAAAAAAGACAGGATCTCAGGATCTGACCGTAGTTCTGTCGCTGGGAACCTGTGCGGCGGCTCCTACGCGATATGTGCTGCTCGGATTAGGATCGGGTGCGTGGTGACCAAAGCGGGTCATGTCTTACTTAGTGCGCTATTTTGTGCATCTCTGCTAAGATGTTAATTCAGTGTAGTTAGAGATATTTGTCACATCATTAAAGGATTTGTTCACCCTGATTTGAATCGTTTACAGGATTAAAAAAAAAAAAAAAACCCTTTCTGAACAAGTCATTTTATACATACGATCCGGTGTTTTAAAATCTCAGTAAAGTGTACGTTTTGCGCATGCTAAATCGGTTGGCGGTGCTTCTCTCTGGGGATGAGGGACGTGCGTTTATAAAACAACTTTTTGGGCTGACTGTCAGGGGAAATGAAAAATTACTTTCCTGGTTCTGTAAATTTTCTTCCCCACCAGCAGTGAAAACATAAATCGGTTTGTAGCTCGTGGTTAACTGCTGAGCACTGACGTCCTTTAGTCAAGCGGGGGCATCGTTGGTCTTTCGCAAACAGGCAATACGGCCAAAAGGATTTGCTTGTTCAGCCTAAGTGGCTGTGATATAAGAAGTTGCTTGCTCTATTTTTATCTCAATTTGGGGACTCTCCAGCCATAAGGCGAATCAATAGTATGTTTGTTGTATATACGCGTTTGTAGTTACGTTACGCCGACAAAGTAAGTGGCCTCAGTTTTTGCTCTGTAATTCAGACTTTGGATTTATGTTAGGCAGATAGTTCCAGCTGTTTAATTATATCTAAGAACTTGCTAAAGTGAACATGTTTCTGTAAAGAAACGAGTGCGTATTTCTCGAAAGCGTCAACTGCAATTAGTGGGTGCTCTGCTGAACTGAAGACGCTGCAGACACCCTGCTGAATGCCAAGCGCCTGGAATAGGTTCCTTTCTTACTTTATTTCCTTGTAATTCTTTCACTACGCTAGCAAAGACGTTAATAAGAGCATCACAGCACAATTTGGGGAAGCAAGCCCCTTATTAGCTAAGGGTATTTGTCTGGAACCGCATCTGAGAGGACCGGTGCCCGAATCGTTTTTCCCCGTAGCAAAAATAAAACGTCTGAGAGAGAACGGTCTGGGTATGGGGTGGAAGTGGCTGTTTACAAACGGTGCGCTGGGGCCGCTTGCGCGCAGTAGCCCACTTCAGCAGG